TTACTTAGCATCAGTCTCTTTGACCATTACAAGTAGACTCAAAAAGTGAAAAACAAAAGTACAGACTGACTCAACCCTAAACCTACGTAATCTTGAACTGGCTTCTTCTTGATCGTCCGATCTTCGATTCCTGAAAAGTTAGAAGCAACAAGTAGTCCAAGAGAAATAATGTTTGTCAATCATCAAAACATAAGTCATGAAAATAGGTTTGCAATAAGGTAGGCCACTTATGGGGAGGTTTCTGATGTTAAATATCAAATTTTCCAAACACATAAACCCACACTGCTACTATATTCCATATATTGATATCTAAATATCTGATTGACAATTTGGCTTAGTTAAAGTTCTCTCTCATCATAAGAAGGGCCAATTAATTATAGAGGCTTGCACCTATAGGAGACCAAAACTTAGATCATAAAATCCTTATAAAATGAGGGTGAAATCTCGGGGCATTGTCTTATTTCAAATCACATTATTTTGAATTTTGTTGATTGGGGTTTGATATTTTATTTAGCAGTTTTCTAAATAATAGGTCTCATTACTCTTATTAGAAGTTGCTTATTTATTTAGGTATAATGGGTCTTACTGCTCCTTTGGAAAGTTGCCCAATTGGTGAATCTTATAATTTACCCGTCTAGGCTAAATTGCCTAGAGATTTGATTATTTGTTTGTTTGGGTAGACAATAGTTGTTTGTTAGCATGACAACAGACAATGATTTCTGTTTGTTAACTAGTTTTTCACTTACTAGCCAGTAATTGTCATTGTGTTACAATAGTGTTTTTGCTACAACAACTCTTTTTTTTTTCTTTTTAGTATCTTTTCAATTCCATATTAAACATCTTTTTTTATGTATAATTATTTTAAATTTTTCTTAAATTTAAATTTTCACAATGCATGTTCTCTTCTCATTTCAGTATTCAAACATACCCCTGCCGACTTGCTGAGTTCTCCCGATTTAGAGACACATACTCTACGTACTCCTTTAGGTTTCCCTTTCCTATTTTCTTACAAAACAATGACACCACATAGAGCCCAATACCATGTATTAACATGCATAATTTTTTAAATTTTCATTTATTTTTTCAATCCTTCAATATGTTTTAGATATCGAGCTCGTGCATATAGAGCCTAAATTTTGATTGGGTATCTTGGGTGTCGACAATCATCTAGCTATTGATTATAGATTTGATGACTCTAAAGGAAACTATCTGAAATATTTATATATATGTTAAATTTCATTAATTTGTATTTCTCCTATTCACTTTCCTTCTGCATGTATGCATAGGTGAATGTTCTTCATCTCCTCAATTAGTGCATAGTGATTTTACACAGATGTTATTTGAAGATGCCAATAATGACACTTTTTACAGAGTTAGCTGTTTCTCCTTCTCCCTTCTCATATTTATCTTGGGTGATTGTAGATGTTTTATCACCAAGTGTTGCTTCTAATTTAGATTATCACTACTTAATAGACTTGTTAGATGACATACGCCCTTCAGATATTTTATATTTCTTTTATAATTTTAATTTTCTTTTCTTATCCATTCCTTTTCTAATAGCTTTAATTTGTTTTATATTCAGGTTTAGAGCTAACATGTTTTACATCCAGAGTAGCTTCTCGAGCTCATAAAAATTTTGGTTGATAACTGTTGAGTAGAGCTCATCACATTGTCACTACAGTATGGTTCTTACTACTAGGAGTGGACCTTGATTATTTGTCATTTCTAAATTTGGCTAGCTTCCATGTAGAGGCTTCTCTACTTTTAGACTATGCTGCAGCTTTTGGACTTCAAGATACTACTTTAGAGACATTAGAGACCTTTGCTTAGTTGTTTCTTTGGAATGAATCAATTACACTTTGCCTCTCATGAGTTAGCAATTAAAATTCTTAATGTTTTGGAGGATGGGCTTAGAGCTGCTTATGATATGATAAGTAGAGCTCACATAGATCTTGACTTTGGCCTTTAGACTTTGAGGCACTACTAGTGAGATTTTTTAGAGGAATAGCTTGAGATTTTTGAAATATCAGTAGAGATCAGAGCTTTGAGATAGCGGGAAAGGGCTCTTTTGGAGTGACGATGAGAGCTTTCAGCAGCGACTACTTATACAGAGCAGGATTTTACATGGATAAGTACTAAGGTTGAGAGGTTACAGTAGGATTTGTTGTCATCCATCAAGAAGTTTAACTTGTTACATCATCAATTGAAGACCACTCAGACTAGGTAGACGAAGCTGAAGGATTGCTTGCCCAAAGTTAGACAACAGATAGGCTACCTCTAATCTAGACTTTGATAGCTTTACAAGTATCTTTTTTGTATGTATATATGCTTGTATTTTATTTGATTTTCTCCTTTCTTCTGTTTTATTGAATTATCACATATTTAGACTTTTAGTGTTTTATATTTAATTAAAAATGGCTTGACCCTTAAGTTTTGTTAGCACATAGAGTGTTTAGAAATTCAATCTTTTAGACTTGTTTAATTTATATTTATTCTTCAATTTGTTTGATAGATTGATAAAAATAGTTCAACTCTTAAATTTATGTGCATGCTTAAATTGTAATGTTTGGCCCTTAGGCATGGTGAGCCTGTATTTCTTTTTAACTAATTAGGTTGATGAATATAACTCAACCCATAGTTGTGTGAGCATAAAAAATTTTAAAGGTTCGGCCCTTAGCCTTACTAAACAAATGGATCTTAGCCCGACTCTTAGGTTTAGGAGCAATAAAAATTTTTGGAGGTTCGTTCCATAGATGTGTTGAACCTGTATTTCATTTCAACCATTTGGGTTGATGAAAATAGCTCGCCCCTTAGGTTTCTGAGCATGTAATATTCTTAGAGATTCGATCCTTCAACTTGTTTAACCTATGGATTTTAGCTCGACCCATAGGTTTATGAACATAAAACATTCTGAAAGGTTTGGTTCATAGGCATGTTCAATGTATATTTTATTTCAACTATTTAGGTTAATAAAATAATTCCTCCATTAGGCTTGTGAACATACCATAGGTTTGTGAGCATGAAGATTTATAGAGGTTTGGTCCTTAGACTTGTTGAACTTGTATTTTGTTTCAACCATTTAGGTTGATTAAAAAAAAACTCAGCCCTTGAGTTTGTAAGAATAAAAGATATTAAAGGTTTAACACTTAGGTTTATTGAACCAATGGATCTTAATTTGACCCTTAAGTTTTTTCGCATGAAAGATTTTTTGGGAATCTGTCCTTTGGCTTGTTGAACTTGTATTTTGTTTCAACTATTTAGGCTGATGAAAATAGCTCGACCATTAGGTTTGTGAGCATAAAAGATTTTAAAGGTTCAAACCTTAGCCTTATTGAACCAATGGATCTTACGTCAAACCGTAAGATTGTGAGTATGAAAGAATTTTAGAGGTTCAATCTTTAGACTTGTTGAACCTATATTTTGTTTCAACCAATTAGGTTGATGAAAATAGCTAACCCCGTTGGTTTGTGAACATAAAATATTTTAAAAGTTTAACTCTTAGGTTTATTGAACCAATGGATCTTAGCTCGACCCATAGATTTGTGAGCATGAAAGATTTTTAGAGGTTTAATCCTTAGACTTGTTGAACATGTATTTTTTTCAACCATTTAGGTTGATAAGAATAACTCAACCCTTAGGTTTATGTGCATAAAAGATTTTAAAGGTTTGACCTTTAGGTTTATTGAACGAATGGATCTTAGCTTGACTCTTAGGTTCGTAAAAGTATAAGAGATTGAACTTCTAAACACTCTATATGCTTGCAAAACCTAATGTTCGAGCAACTTTTAAACAAATATAGAAGACTAAAAGTCTAAAAGTATGTCAATTCAAATAAAAATGGGAGAAAATTAAATAAAATGCATGCATATATACAAACTAGAAAGAAGCCAGAAAAGCTGTCAACGTTTAGATTAGAGGCTTCCTATCAGCTGTCTAACTTTGAGCAAACGATCCTACAACATCATTTGCCTGGTATGAGTGGTCTCTAATAGATAATGCAACAAATTAAACTCCTTGATGGATTACGAGAATTCCTACTCAAATCTCTCAAGTTCAGTAGCTATCTAATTAAAACATTCTCAGTGAAACCACCCAGTACTCGAAGCTCTCTTCATCTCTCCAAAAGAGCCCTCTTCTACTATCTCAAAGACCTGAGCTCTACTGATATCTCTAAAAGCTTAATCTACTACTCTGAAATATCCCTCTAGCAGTGCCTAAAAGTATAAAGGCCAAAGTTATGATCTATTTGAGTTTTCCTTATCCTATCCTAAGTAGCTCCTACCCCATCCTCCAAGTCGTTAGAAATTCCAAATGCTAACTCATGAGAGACAAATTGTATGAGGTTCATTCTGAAAGCAACCACTCAACAAAGGGATTCCCATGTCTCTAAAGTTGCATCTCAAAGTTTAAAAGTTGCTGCATAATCTAAAAATATAGAAGCCTCTATATGAAATCTAGCCAAATCTGGAAACAAAAAATCATCAAGGTCCACTCATAGTAGTGCTACAGTGTAGTGATAATGTAATGAGCTCTACTCAATAGTTATTGACGAAAATATATGTGAGCTCAAGAAGATGCAAAACATGTTGGTTTTAACCCTAAATGTAAAGCACATTAGAGCTATTATACAAAAAAACATTAGAGATTTAGAAAAGAAAATGATAAGAACAAAATTCAAAACTATAATAGAAATATAAAAATACCTTAAGGGCGTATCTCATGTGACAAATATGTCATGAAGTGGTCATTTAAATGAGAAGCAACACATGGTGATAAATTATCTATAATCACCCAAGATGAATTTGAGAAGGAAGAAGGTGAAAAACCTAACTCTTTAACAGTGTCATCGGTGGCATCTTTAAATGAAATATGTGTAGAATCACTATGCACTTATTGAGAAGATGATGATAGTTCACCTATACATACATGCAAAAGAAAAGTGAAAAAGAGAAAACCTCATTAATGAGATAAACATGTTGATAAATATGCCATATATTTACCTTCAGTGTCATATAATGTATATTTAATAGCCAAATGACTATCCACACCAAAGATACCCAGCAAAACTTCAAGCTCTACATCCACGAGCTCGACATCTGAAACACAAATATATTGAAGAATTGAAGGAATAAATGAAAAATAAAAAATTATACATGTCAACACCATGTACTTCGTTCAAAGTGGTTCTATTGTTTGGTAAGAAAACATGAAATGCAAAACATGGACCAGTATGCGGAGTATCTGGCTCCAAAATAGGAGAACTCAATATGTTGGCATGGGTGTGTCTGAATATTGCAATGAGAAGATAACATGCATTGTGAAAATAAAAATACAAGAAAAATCTGAAATAAATATACATAAAAAAGTTGATTTAACTTGAAACTAAAAAGAAATTGTCAAGCGGAAAGAAAGTGCTATTGTACTCAAACAAACAAATAATTAAAACTCTCGACAGTTTAACTTAGAGGGATTAATTTTAAGACCCACCAAATGGTATACTTCCAAAAGGAAGTAATAAGACCCATCATACCCAGATAATTAGACAACTTCTAATACAATTTGCGAGGCTTATTATTTGGGAAACTACTAGATAAAATATCAAACCCCCAAGCAATAAAATTTAAATTAATTTGCACCTTAACCTAAAGGATTAGTTTGTAAGACCCACTTTTAGGAAACTTCCAAAGGGAACATGTAAGACCTACCCAAATAATTAAATCCTCGAGCAGCCTTAATGTAGAGTATGAAAGTACGAGGTGCACCAAGAGGGTGGGGGTTAATTGTTAATTTTTGTTTAAAAATAACAATCCTAGCATGAGTTCTAATTTTTTTGTTTTTAAATTTTGAACAAGAAAATTAGTTTAATGAGGAAACAAATGATTAAAACACAATTACAATAATAGGTGGTGAAATTTTAACTTACACTACAAAGAACTAGAACATGATTTTAACCAAGCAGTTATAATAAACGTAGAAGGAAAAACATAAATAAAGTGCAATAAATGGAAAAATAAAACCAGAATATTTATAGTAGTTCAGTCACTTGACCTACGTTCACTCCCCAGAGTCCTAAACTATGAGAATTTCACTACTAAAAATTAATTCTCTTTTTACCCCCACAGCAAGGCGAAGAAGCCTTTACAAACCCTCACTTTCACCTTCCTCGGTGTAGCGTAGTATCAACAGCTATGTCACCCTCCCGGTGATGGCAGCAAACCTTCTCATTTTTCTAGCTCCTAGATAAGGAAGAGTACCTTAGAGGACACAGACCTTGAAGGATCTCCCCCTTAGAAAGCTTCCCACAAGATCTTCTTGGGCCACAGGAAGAGCAAGATTGCAGTAGCCTTGGAGTAACCATGTGATCTCCCTCACACTTCTTCTCACTCATAAACTCACCTTCTCCTTCCTCTCATAAACCCAAAATCTTCTCAAGTAGCTCTCTCTCAAGAAGTCCCCTTCTTGTCATGTTCCTCTCTCTTATTTTTTTAAAAGATAGAAGTTTCATATATAAATCAGGCTCCAAGAAACCCTAAATTTTCAAATTAGTTATTTATATTCGTACAATACGGTCCAAGATCGTACAGAATGATCAGTTCAAATAGCCTTCATCCTGGTATGAATGAGTACGAATAGGCATTTTTTGAACCACATCGTATAGTATGACACAACATTGTCCAATTAGGTCCCATGCTAATAAGGTATTTTGAATTAATTTGAAGCATAATTTTGAAAGTAAAATGGGAGTCCATTTCTCAATATGGTAATTAGCTAATAAAATATTGAAGTACTGTGGTGGTAAAAAACCACAAGAGAATACATCGGTCTAATTTTATTAGTCATCTACAAAGGAGAAAACATAATAGAAAAATATGAGCTCTAAATGTAAAAGTCACTCTAGATAATTGAACCAAAGAAGGAAAAGAAATGCTATGTATAGTAACTTAGTAGTTCTAGACAATTGGAATTTCTAGCAATGTTTATGTGTATCCATCTATAAAGGTAGTCCCAACTAATCTCCATGTTGCACTGAGCTTGAATGTATGCAACAAAAATCTGCCCCAAGCTGTGGAAAATCTACATAAGAACTATAAGGGCTAGCAACTCTTGTCCCACTCATTATCAAACTAGCCATCAAAAGAGGGTTGGGTTAGAAAACTCTACTCTGAATAAGAAAAGTAAAGTAACAGAGACAAATAGCAATAAAAGACACTAAAAGTATATCAGTTGAAAATCCAATAGTTGAAATAGGTTGAAATTCTTTTGCTGATCATGGCTCAAACATATTCTATGAAAACTTCTCCATATCATATAATATCCTACTAAAAGGATTATAAACATGTGTGAAATCTATAGTAAGTGCTACTGGAAGAAAAAATCTCTCCATCGAGGTGTCCAAGTAAATAATTACTCTACGACCATGACCACTCTTCTTTTGTTGACAGAGGTGGTGATAATGCCTCAATTTTTTGTAAAGACCTGGTGAGTGAAATTACTAAATGACAAGAGGGGGGGGGGGGGTGAATTGTGAAAAACTTTTTCTCAATAAAAAGTAACCCTAAACAGGAGTTCTAATCTTTTTGTTATTTTTGAAATTTGACAACAAAAACTTAAACAAATTTTCTTTCACAAATTTCACCATGCAATAATTATGAAAAATTAAGTGCAAGTAGAAGTAAATGAAGATAAGGAAAAAACACACCAAGATTTTTATGGTGGTTCCGTCAAAATATGACCTACGTTCACTCCCCGGAGTCCTCTGCTTCGGGATTTTCACTACTAATTATAGTTCTCCTTTTGCCCCCCTTGGCAAGGCGGAGAAGCCTTTACAAACCTCCCTTTCACCAACCCGGTGTGGCGGAGTGCCAAACTATATTTTCACCCTCCTGATGATGGCAGAGAACCTTCTCCCTTTTCTCCCTCCTGGAGAAGGCAGAGTACCTCGAGGTCACGGATGTAGACGAGCCTTTCCCTTGGAGATCCTCCCTCAAATTCTTCTAGGGCCACAGGAGGAGCAAGATGCAGCAAGTTCGGAGCAACCGTGTGATCTCCCTCACACCTCTTCTCCCACACAACGCTCACCTTCTCCTTCCTCTCTCAAACCCTAAAGAACTTCTCTAGAGCTCTCTCCCTTGGAATCCCTCTCTAACCACGTTCTCCCTCTCTCTCTCTTACTTAAAAAAATGAGATTAACACCTAAAACAGGCTCCAAAATCCCTCTGATTTCAAAAGTAGCCGTTACTGTTCGTACAGTACAATTCTACATCATACCGTACGATCTTCATAAACAGACTTCGTCTTGGTACGAAGATGTACGAACAGTTCAAAATGATTCGTACTATACGATATAATATCGTACGATACGATCAACAAAATACTATTCGTACAGGACGATGGTCTGGACGATCTGATGTCATCTCTGTTCATCGTATTGTATGATTACTATCATACAGTACGATGAGACAAAAACCAAGAGATCGTCCAGGATGATATCTAAGATGATCACACTTTGTATCTGTTCATCGTATGGTATGATCATGTTCGTACAGTACGATGTTCAAAATATAATTAGGCCTGGATTTCATGCACTAATCACGGGTTAATTTAAGTAGGTATGTAAAATAAATTGTATAGTACGAAACTATTTGTACAGTATGAACAGCGCAAAATCACTTACTTAAACTAAACCACAGCTAGGGTTTTGGATCTGAACATATCATACAGTACGAATAGATTCGTACAGTACGATCTAGTCACAAAATCATCCACATAGCTCGGATCGTACGGTATGAATTAAAATCGTACAGTACGATCTCCAGAGAAGAAATTTTATTACATTTTACATTTAAAAACAAACTCTCCCCCTGTGTGTGTGCATGGTTGCTCATACTCTTATACATTTTTTGGCCAGACTCAAGAAAATAAAAATACAATAAATAGAAAAATACAATATCTGACTCATACTCCTAATCTACTCGTTCTTGAGTCTTTCTTTCATCCTGAGTCACTTGTAAACTTCCTGAAATGTTAGTACTCAAAGACAATAGCAAATAAAATGATATCCAATGAAAAGTTGTTTCAAAATAATCATTATTTGGCATCATCAAAATCTCAAACTCGGGGTCATGGGTTGCAACAATCTCCCCCTTTTTGATGATGTCAAGTTATTCCCTTTCTCCTAAGGTCATAGTCTCTACTCCTTGAATTACCTCTATTTCAACATCTTCACTTCTATATCCAGAGGGCTTATCTGATTCGTCAAGCACTACATGGGTGGACTCTTCTACTACTAAGATCCTCTTGTTAAATATTATATAGGCCTTACCTACAGAAGAATATCCTAAGAAGACACCCTCATCAGACTTGGGATCAAATTTTCCTAAGGGATGTTTACCATTATTCAAGATGAAGCACTTGCACCCAAAGACATGTAAATGTGAAAGGTTTGGTGTCCTACCCTTAAGGAGTTCATATGGAGTTTTATTTAGCTTTGATCTAATGTTTACTCTATTTAAAACATAACAAGCTGTGTTGACTGCTTCTTCCCAAAAGTATCTAGGAAGGGTATACTCCGCTAACATTGCCCTAGTAGCTTCTACCAAAGTTCTATTCTTCCTTTCTGCTATACCATTTTGTTGGGGTGTTCTAGGGGTTGAGAAATTGTGTTCTATTCCTATCTCTTGACAGAATGACTCAAACCTATCATTTTGGAACTCTCCACCATGATCGCTATGGATTATTGATATTTCACAACCTAATTTTTGTTGAATCCATGTGGAGAATACTTTAAATTCCTCAAAAGACTCATTTTTGTGTGCTAGGAATCTTACCCAAGTAAATCTAGTGAAGTCATCTACAATCACAAATCCATAATTCTTTCCACCTAGACTGGTTGTACTAACAGGTCCAAATAAGTCCATGTGTAGAATTTCTAGTGGCCTAGAGGTGATCACATCTCTAATTGAGTGAAAGGATGATTTGACTTATTTTCCTAGTTGGCAAGCATCACATAAGTGATCCTTGGAAAAGTCTAACTTAGGTACACCTCTAACTAGGTTTTTCTAAGTGATATTTCTAAGTGTTGCTAGCATGGCATAGTCTTCTATGCCATAGCCACGAGTCATCAACTATTATTTTCAAGCAAAATGATTTTGAGTTATCTACACGATCAAGGTCTAACATGTAAACATTGTTCATTCGTTTTTCTTCTAAAACTAGTTTATCAAATAAACTAATCAGGCATTTATCAGATAAAAATTTAATATCAAAACCTTTGTCACACAGTTGACTAATGCTAAGTAAATTATGCTTCAAACCATCAACTAGTAAGACATTTTCAATTAAAATTTTTTTAGCATTACCAACAATACCTGAGCCTATCACCTTCATGGTAGTGTAATCTCCCAACGTTACTTTACCTCATGTTTTGGTCTCCAGTAGGATGAACTTCTTCATATCTCCAATCAGGTGTCACGAGCAGCCACTATCCAGGTA